GCCAAAAGAGATCCACCCTTTTGGACACGCCAGGAGGAGCTGCACTGAGCTTGTCTCAGCTAGAAGTCACTCTTAGACTTTGCATAGCTTACAGGTGGAGTCATGGCTTAGTAGTTTCAGTCTGTTTTGCCCTAGACATTGTTGTGTTTTGCGCAGAGTGCATGGCTTTACCAGTGGGACGGCTGGGGGCCCCTTCCCCTATGGACCCCTTTCTCTTATGGGTTCCCCTTTCATGCCCCCTTAGTTCACTTCAGAGTTGTGTCCACGAGCAACTACACAAATTGATATCAGAACAATCACTCTGGTTGCACTACAGGATTCAGTTGCTTTCTCTGTACTGCTTATTCTCCTTTCCTGTGTTTGGATTTTTCATGTCATTTACTATAAGCTGTTCTCGAAAGATTCTGGTTCAAAGAAAGGAGAAACTCTTTATATGGTTGTTAAGATTCATTGGGTTGAATGTGGAAATGGGGATCAGAGTAATTTATTTTCAGAGCACACCTGTAGTGCAATAAAATAATTCGCATAGAGTGCACTATACAGTGTTCAAGGTTCAAGGATTTGTAAATATGTTTTTCTGTAATGCTGGATTTGCTCCACAGGCAGGCCATGGCTTCTTGCTCTTTCCATTACTGCTGTTTACTCAGAGTGGTCAGGTGGTCATGGAAGAGAAGAAGAGCAGAGCAAATGACCTGCTTCTATTGCCAGCTTGCTGGGTTGTGGCTCAGCCAAAGCTCCTTCAGACTCCAGTGAGAGCTTTTACTAAGAGAGGTCTTCAGGGTTTGGTCTTAAAATACCACCTGATATAATGAATGTTGGTGAAAAAATTTTTTAAAAAATGCATTAATCCCTTCTAACAGGACTCTCTCTAGAAGGAATTTTGCTGAACACCAGTGCACAACTATATCTAACAGTACTGGCTGAGTAAAGTGTGATTTACATAGTGTTATAGCTCCAGAGACAGCACCTCTTCAGGGGAACAGAATGGGATTGTGTGCATAGACACCTGCCATGCAGACATTGACATGTATGTGTGCGTGTCTATAAAAATACATGTGATTATATACTCAAATGATATTTCATCCATGCTTTCATTTATAATGTACCATGTCACAGTAGAGGGAAGGATCTCAATATTTTTTTATGTTATTTTTCAAAATATCAGCTCAGCTAGAATCCCTTTTAATACAGTTTCCAGGGGAAATAAGGCTTTTGTGGTAATTCTGTGTTTTGGCTTTTACATATGGCCTGTAACAATCTTTGAGTTTCATCACCAATTTTAATTAAATTTGATATGGGGGTGGAAGTCCCAGAGATAGGAAGTTTTTGCAAGATTAATGAAAACTGGCTGCCAAGTACAGAAGGAAAATCCATTAATACTCGATCTGAAAGAAAGAGTGACGCTTGAGCTCACTGCTTTGAGACAATGAGATATTATGAATGCCCCAACCGTGGGAAAAACTTCAATCAGTACTAGCATCTTACTAGACACTAGAGAATCCAACCACAAGATACACATTCATAGGAAACCAGGCTTCATTAGTTCCACAGTTCACTTTGATACATAGAATATAATTAAAAGAAAACTGAACATCTTATGTGTCCTTCCCCTTGAGGTTTCACACCCCTTTAACCAGGTTTGTCTGTACACTGGGGAGATTTGAGCATGTGGCTCTGGACTAATGAGGAACATGCTGCTTCCAATATCCTGACTCAAAATCTTTTCAAGTATGGGATGAGGCACTGCTATAAGCATAAATCTTCCATGAATTTTTTAGCAAAGAAAGGCATATACGGGATGACATGAAGAAAATCCCAGTTCAGTTTTCAACAGAAAATATTGTTGGGCATAATGCTGTATGCTTCCAAGCAAAGGTGTGGAAGTTGTTAGTAGGACTTTGTAATCCTCCTGAACAAAGTGCTAGAATGATTTCCAAAGAAGGAACACCCTTGCATTAAGATAAAGGAGGTGACCTGAAAATTTTCAAGACACCAGAAAACCTGTTCCTTGAGTAATACGCAGAACTTTGGCAAAGTTTAGGTTAAAGCTAAATCCAGTCCTCCTTCTGTGATTAATGTCATATTGTAAATTCTCCCTCTTAGGCACAATTGTTCCTACAGGTGATATTAGAAATTAATTAAGTTATTGAGGTTGTGATAATTTATTTAGCTTCCAAAACTGGAATGATTGATTAAATTGTAAAGCAAGTTCCATGGACATTATTTGAAAATAATATTAATTTTGTTCAGGGATATGATGAAGAGCAACTGTCTGTTGACTGCGACAGGGAGAGGACATTTTAAAGGAAAATAACTAAAATCCAGATCTCAGGAAGAGGCTGACAGAGTTCTTTTCAGATCTCTAATGCAACACACATGATTTTGTTTGATTATCCATGGCTTCAGTTGCTGAATAAAAATGTCATAGGATCTTTTGGTTTGGAAATTCTCACGATTAGTTATGAAGAAGAAAAAATTAACTGAATTTTCAGGACAAAATTACACAAAAATGATTTCGGTTCATATGCATGTTTTCCTAGACATACTTGTAAGCCTTTTCCACCAGTTATGAAATCTATGTAGAATTCCAGAAACTACAGAAGTTGTGGAATACAAAACCACATAACGCAGTGCTTTTAATTCTGAGATAGCTTCTGAAAATGTGAATTCAGATCAATGGATTTAAGTTATGAAGTGCGTATGAAGTGCATATTACAATTTTTAAAAAAGAAGTAAATTCAACAGACTAAGTTTCTAACTGTGTTTTCCTAATCCTCAGTTTTTATTGTTTTCCTAGAATAGCTGGTATTTTACCTCACCTCTATTTGATACTGTAATATAAGGTCTTTTTCATTAATATTTCATTCATTCGTACCTAATTTTCTTTAATGATTTAAACCAAATTTAAAGAAATAACTTGATAAATCATCAACCTTTACAGCCTCAGAAGTGTATGTATTGACTGTCAAACATACATTATTGCAGAAAAGTTCTTACACATCAAGTATATAATTTACATGCATTGTAGGCTGAACGTGTTTATAGTCATGAGATTGAATTCAAATTCTTTCTCACACCTTCTCACTCACAGTACTAAGTCGCTTGGCCTTTGCGCAGGGCTGAAAGAAGTCTTCTAACTTGTATAAATGTACTGACTGATGTGATAATCATCTTTCATTTGGCCAGAATGGGACAAGAAGTATCTCTCTCAACTGTTAATGTTTTATAACCTGATATATCTACTACTAGAAATTAAATCCTCCTTGCTAGTGGTCACTGAATCACAGATTGGCTAGAATTAAAAGTGGAAAGTGACTGACAAATCATCCATTTGTCAGTTTGATTTTGCCATTCTGTGTAGCAACCAAAAAAAAAAAAAGCCCTAAACTACTTTATATTGTAAAACACCATTCTCTGTGATAAACTTCCTTAAACTTCCTAAGGCTTTGGCTTTTTAAGCAATTGTCAGTAACCTCTCTCCCTTTCCCTCTCTAAATACTTAGGGGGTAGGGGGTGCAGGGAAGAGGGGGAAAGAAGTAGATACTTGTAAGTTTTAAGTTACATGGTTTATTTTAAATGACAGATTAAAATACCAACCCAGGTAATATTCCTGGGTTGGACTGCTCCTTTAAAACCAAGTCTGTAAGTGTTTCTATTGACTCCTTGTCTTTTACCAAAAAGGTTGCTGACGTGAGCTTGTAGGGGGTAGAGATGTGCTCTCAGTGGATGTTTTTTCACTGGCCTCAGTGGATAAACAGCCAAGACCGGTGACTTTACCCTTCACAAGTCTATTTTGTATTTCATAACCTTTTTAATTCTAGGGTGAAGTCTAGTTGCATGCACATGCCATCCTGATGTCTAATGTTTTGTTTTTACAGACTTTGCGGCTTTCAATATTTTTGAACAGGGGTTTGGTTTTCTTTTTTTTCCCCTCTGTATATAAAGAATTACAATCCAAAGCCCTTGTAATATTTAACAAATTACTTTCCCAATGTCCTCACAAATATATTTGGTTATTATGTATATTTTTAAGCTTTACAACTTCATACCACTGAAAGATAATGTAAAATATTAAGAATACCCATCACTGGGGAATTTAGTATATTTTCATTGGAATAATTAAACATGGGATAAATTTAACATTTTTCTAGAATGTCATACATGTAGGTTTTTTTGTCTTTAAAAAGTACAGGACAATTTTACTCATGCTAATGCTAGGATACATAGAAAGGAAAGTTTGCTTAAAAGAGGGAATGCTGTCTTGGGGTGGTGTCACTACAAAATATTGATTCTGTACAGACAGCCACAAGAATGGCTGTCTCATTTACAAGATCTTTGACCATCTGATTTTTTTGGTGGGTTGAAATGTATGATCTGTGATATTTGTTACCAAGAAGTGTTATAGACACTGCTGACACAGATCTGATAAGAAACTGGGTCAGCTGGCAAGATATTCTCTGTAAGGCTACCTCCCTGTAACATTATGTGTATCCTTCTGTGTGAAGGATTTTCTGAGCATGGCTTGTAGTCTACCATATAGTTTCATTTGCAGTTATTGTAAAGTTCTTCCTCCCTCCTGAAAGATTAAAAAAAAAAAAAGGAAGAACTTGTTTAAATCACATTTCTCTTTAAAGCAGAAAAAAAAAGTAAAACTATTTAGTATTTAATTTCTCAAAGCTTGGCAGTTTTCATGTATTGCTCTGTCAGGAGCCTTGTCTTTTCATTCGGCTTCTTTTCTGATTACAGATTATTCATTTATGGATGGGCAGCTGTAGAAACTTGCTTCTTGCGTATGCAAATTAATCATGGTAATGTTTATCATAAGGAGATTTTGTGGCAGTGGAAAAGGGGTTGTGTCAACATGTTCTTGATTTCAGTTGTATCTTCTTCTACAAATGGAATTGGCCTCCTTGCTTCACCTTCAGTGGATTTTTTTTTTTTGCCATTTACCTCCTGGACTAGACACCGCTCACTAAGCAAGCTGTTTGATTCACTTACAGATCATGATTTTGGAAGGAGCTGGCAGGATGAGTATCAATTCCAGCAGCAATCTACTCCACCAGCAGCCTTCCTGGACAGACGGATATTCCACATGCAATGGTAGGAGGAATTAAACTGCTTTGAGCCATATTCTTTTTTGGGAGGCCGGGGAAAGGGGCTGCTACACCTTTAAGCATGTACAAATATTATTTTTCAGTAGTACTAATTTACGGAGTTTCACTTCTGGTAAGAAAAATATTCATTTGTTACTTCATTTGTAAAAAGCTGAACTTACAATAGGGACCAGTTTATTGTTCATTTCCTTACTAGCTCTCTTTCTTAAAATTTAATGGTGTTGAAAGTGCCAGAAGTTCTCTCTTCTCAGTCTTTCTCTCGTACCTTTACCCCTCGTGCTTCCTCTGAACTAACATTACTGTTTAATGCTAATCACCCCTCTGGCTTTACAGGGGACTAGTATTTTTGGTCCTTTGTTGTATTTGCTTTTTTGGTACAGATTACTAGATAGCTTTCTAATTAGACTGGAATTAGAGCACTAGGTACCTTGTGGCTTGTGATTTTTTTCCCTTTTTTTCTCCTTACTGTTTTCTGATTGTATATCTGGGTATATAAAAATGTATTCATATATATTCTCTCAGTATAAAAATATATGTAAATGTATATCTCTATAGATGCTTGACATAATTTTAGAATTCTTTTCATTATTCAGTGGACAGGTAAAACTTAAAATCTAAGTGGATAATCATATGCTGCTCTTGTCCTTCTGATCCAAAAAATACTACAACAAACTTACAATTAAAGTTCCTACTTAATGAAATGGTTATTCTTTTTATATGTAATTTCTAAATACACGGGAATATATCAACATGTGCTTAATAAATGTGCCTGTTTTTCTATAACAGTGTCATACAGAAAAAAAGTCATGTCTGAGTTTCACTCTTCCACAGGATTTCATGGAGGGAAATGGTGGGGGTCTATATCAAATTTCCAGGGTGAAACTCCTCAGGATTCACTTACGTTTTAGAGGGACAGGAAGCTCAAAACTCAGACCAGTCTGCACAGTAATTCACCACTGCACTTACTTTTACCTAAGCTACTTTCTCCTCTCACAAAAGTATCTTTCCTAACATTAGGATTCCAGTGGCCTTTGAAATCACTTTACTCTTCTGAAGTGATAAGAATACAAATCAACCTCTTTTTCAGGGGATATTTGACAGCTCCAGCAAACCTTTATTCTCTGACATACCACACTTTAAATAATTTCCACACTCATTCCCCACATCCTTCAATAGGAGGATGAGGAACAGTCCTGCAAACTCCCTAAGTTACTTACACAAGCCTTGTTGGCTAATATTGATAAAGAAAGCTAAATAACTGTGGGGATTGTTTTTGTGTTACCTGGAAAGTGTGTCCTGTACCTCATCTGAAGAGACCTGAGGTTTAGTGCACCTGAGTTAAGGTGATTTCCTAAAATGTGCCAATTCTGGTGCTTGTGGTCCTCTGGAAATATCCACTGTTGTGAGTATTTCTCACTGTGTGGTTAATTTTTTTCTAGAGGTGTCTGGGAACAGATTGGTGCCATATCCTGGAGCGGGGTCCCTGCAGAGCTAGGCCATGGCAGTCTCTCCTCCCTCTGTAATCTCTAATTCCCTCATCCTTAAATCCTTCTTGCACTTGTGAACATTTTATCTCACCGTCACCTCTGTCTGGCATAGTCCATTTTCCTCCTTTCCCAGGGAATAAATTGCACTGAACTCTGTGAGGACAGACCAAAGCAATCCTGCCTTTGCTCTTATCTTACATAATGATCCTAGCCATGTACAATTTCTTCCATTTGCACATGCAAAGTACTGTCGTGCAATGACATACAATGAGAGCAGTTTGAGATTGCCAAGAAAAGACTCAGACATTCTAACAAGAAAATTAGGCAGCTTCCATAGCTAAAAATGAGTTTTATAACTACATTCAGAAACCACTTTACATGACTACAGCAATAATCTGCACCATCAGAATGCCATCTCTGTCATGAAACCATGGCCCACACTGATAGACTTTTACTGTGGAGCAGTATGAAAGTGCTTTTAATCTTCCTTTTCCTAACCCTACCAAGTTCTTATTCAAAGAAAGTTTTCACGTCACCTTATGAGAGTTTTGCAAGGCTTTTCCATCATTTTCTGATGCAATAAAGTAATTTTCCCACACATCCCTTTTCAACAGTATTTCTGTAAAGTATCTTCCCTCAGAGAATTGTGGTGTATTTAGCCAACATTAATAAGTTGATTCCTGCAAATCAATCAGCCAAGACGTGTAATGAAACAATGCCCAATTTTTAGTTGGAAAACTGAGGCCAAAACCCCCACAATATCTTCTCCAGCAATTGCTACTCAGCCAATGTTAAGGAGTGAGAAAAGCGTCTTGATCTGTAGACTTCCAAGACATGCAATTTGGCTATAGATCTTATTGTTGATGACTATTATGCTATCAGAGACAGTAAATATTTTTTTTCTTTTCCAGTATCCAGTAGCTTCTATGGAACCCAGTGGCACGAAATACACCCGCAGTACTGGACTAAGTTTCAAGTCTGGGAGTGGCTGCAGCACCTCCTTGATACCAACCAACTGGATGCCAACTGCATACCTTTCCAGGAGTTTGATATCAATGGGGAACATCTGTGTAGTATGAGCCTGCAGGAATTCACTCAGGCAGCTGGGACAGCAGGACAACTGCTTTACAGCAACCTCCAACACCTAAAATGGAATGGTAAATAGATATTAGAGAGAGACACACACACATTAGTCTGAATTCTGAGATCTTCTTAAGTCATTTACGTTCCCCAGAAGCCTGCCTGGCAGATTATACTTGCTCTGTTTGCTATTCTGATTATAGCTCATTTATGGTATTGCTAAATTTCTTGGATATGACTTAAGGCAGAAATCTAAAGGATGAAGAAGAGAGGGAATGTTTTCCGCTCCAAAATCAGCCCTCTGGCTCAGGTGTAGAAGTTGCTGCTTGAAGCTAATACATTTGATTTCTCTGTGCTCATTCTCATACTTCCTATCTGCCAATTTGCTTTCTTGCAGGTCAGTGTGGAAGTGACATGTACCAATCTCATAATGTCATTGTGAAGACAGAGCAAACAGGTGAGTAGCATCGGGGTAAATTGTCCTTTGAAAAGAGGGGACCCCTCTTCCAAGGGAGAGAAATCAAAGTGGCATTAAATAAAATGGAAAGTGTATCATGCAGAATTAAAGAAGTAATACAAATGTCAGTCAGTGCTTCCTTCTGAAGTTTCAGGTAATACCACATGCATGTGGCCACTTTTCCTGGGAGACCTGTGCAGTATCAGCAGTCTACACTGATGTTCAGAGTTGGAATAGTTTGAGGTGCTCCATGGAGGCAGCTTTGTAGAGGACTTCATTTTACACTTCATTCAGCAGATTTGAAAACAACTGTTTTAAAAATATGTTCCATTAAAAAAAAAAAAGGAAGAGAGAAAAGGAGAAAAATATTTTGTTGTGAAGTGCTGTTAGTTTTTGAAACGCAAGGAGATTTCCAAAAACCAGCTTGGAGACAAAACAAAATGTAACATTTTAAATGTTACATTTTCCTCACAGGTTTCAACGAAACTGAAATTTACGCAGTAGTTTGGTTTGATGAAATCTGCATTTTTGCCGTTGCAGTTCTTTTTCTGAGTGTGTTTATAGCTAGATCCCTTTCTTCCCAGGGCTTTGTTTAACTGCGAAAAGAACTTCAGCTTGATTCAACCGTCCTCTTCAGGCACAATTATTTTCCTTGCTCCTTTGCCAGATCATGCCTGTCCATATCCACACACTCTTTATCCCACTAGTCCCAGCCTTTGTATGTAGGTGTGCCCATGAGCCACGTTTTGATATCTGCTGGCAGAACAAATACTGATCTGTTGCATGTGGTGTCTCCAACAAATACTGTCAGCCTGTTTATCCACTTAACCTGTTGGAGCCCAGCCTCTCCAGCCAGGAATATTGCCCACGTTCTGCTTGCAGCAGGCAGGGATTGTAATCTGCAATCCACTCCTGGTATAGGAGCTGTGCATGAGGCAGCCTTGCTGCTTTCCATGGAGGTAACTCCAGTAATCCTTTAAGTCCTGATTTATGAGATCTTGGTATAATGTTATTTCCTCCTCCCACTAGAGATGAGGGCAAAGCAAAGCACCTCAGCTGCACATCTTGGAAAGGACTAACTGGCGGGTGGTTCTCCTTGATGTGATGAATCAGAAATGGCTTGGTGGGCCTCTGGTGGTGCCAGCCATGGCCAGTGGGAGTGGGTTAAGTTTCTGCATATGGGGGAGTAGGAATGGTGGATTAGAGCTGCTAGGAAAGTTACTCCTTGTGAGGCAGCAGGGACAGGGCTGGTGGTTTTGAGGGGAAGCTCGGCTCACTCCGGTAAACCATCACAGCTGCAAAGACATGGGTACTGCAAAAGGCCAAAATGAACAAAGGTGAACACTTTCCCCATGTTCTGGCTGGGTAAGGCCCCGTTTTCAGAGGCAGCATTAGGCAGATCAGGTGTCCAAGCAAGCAAAGGGTGTGTGCTACTGTAGGAACGCAAGCTCTGGGTGCCCAAACATGCAGCTATTAGTTAGCATGCCTGCTAAATTCCTATGTCATAAGTGGTAACTTGGCCAAACATGATTATTTAGCTGTAACTCATTTTGGGGTTTTTGATTTCATTTATATGAACATGAAAAAAATTAGGTTTAACCTAGATTTGAACTTTATATCTCATCCCTTCTGACCTGGTTTCAAAAGAAGAAGAGATTTTTAAGGCTTCTGACCTTAAAAATGCACTGTGAAGGAAGTAATTTCCAAACCAGTGTACAGGTCATAAAGACAGTACTTTTGGTTCTGCGTATATTGATCCACATGACCAGAAGGTCACTAAAAATTATTCTTCTTTAATCATGAAGGTGTTTTTTAGGTTAAGGCTGGGGACTTAGTGTGCCTGGAGTAAAATGGCCCTTCAATCTAGGATTATGCTTTGATGTTTCTCACTATGTGCTTAAACAAGAAGCTGTGTTTCAGAGAGGACTTTCGAGTTCTACCATTATAGAAATAAATACTCATCATAAGCATCCTTCTTTTCTACTAGATGTTTGAAAACACTTTCATCTGTGTGGCTCCAACTCACTGTCATAATCATCAAGAACTGAGAATTCAGGACTGGATTGGGTAGAATTAGAGTTGATCTGGCATAGGAAACCTCCTCCAAGGCCAGGCATAAATGATATACTAGTCAGGAAAAGGAAGAGCATATTACATTCTTTCTAAAGTCAGTGCTTTGTGTAAATACATTTGCCTGAATATGCAAAACTCCATGCATAATTTGAGTGAAAGGAAATAATTTTGTACATAGCCCCTTCACAACTCTTGACAGTTGTTTTTTTTTTTTTTTTCCCCCCACGTTTAAAATTCTTTCAGTGGTCAATATTTACCTCTGTGCTCTGTGCTTTTAGTGATCCAATTTTCTTTTTGGTCCTTTACCTTCAGATCCGTCATTAATGGTGTCCTGGAAAGAAGATAATTATCTTTATGACAGTGGCTATGGTAGCACAGTAGGTAACTAACATCGCAATACTTCATGCATTCTGAGATGGGTTTATTGTTGTCTGAGGCTATTAGTTTAAACGTCTTCTTTTTAATTCCCAGAGTTATTGGACAGTAAAACATTCTGTCGTGCTCAGATTTCCATGATGACACCTAGTCACCAATCTCCTGGTAAGAAACTTGTAATTATATTTTTAATTGTTTGTCGCTTGTCCCAGAGCTACCGACATGTAATAGTCTCTGTGGTCTTCTGTTGTAGGATTGCATCTGAGCCTCCAGTAATTTTAAACCAAGCAATGATGATTCTGACAGATTTATTAGCTGTCATTATTACAATAGCTATCTTTAAAGAAATGCTTCTGTCTTCTCTCTGTCAAGAGGAAGATGATCAAATAATCTGTAATCTCCACATATCTTTTAAAGTGACTGAGTCAAAGGGGTAAACACTAGTGTCAGAGAGACAAGACATTCCAGCTACACCACGCTTTTCTGTGGTGTAGCACACGGGGCAAACAAGTGCCCCATTCCTCCCCAAAGCGGCCGTGCTCCCGGTGAGCCCGTGATTCATGCTGAGCAGGCTGCTGGCTTTGGGGCGGGCTCGGCTTGGCCTGGGGCAGCTGTAGGGCAGACACCAAGCCCTGTGCCCAAACACGCCGGCACAAGGGCTTCCTCCTGCGGCCTCTCAGAGCTGACAGCGGGGTGCTCGCTGAACCCCCCTGCCTTCCGTGAGGGAGGGCTCAGATCTGCCTGCTGAAGGGCAGGAGACACAGCAAACCCGTTCACTGAAGCGCCTGGGGGTCTGATCACCCCCTGTGGGCCCTGTCCGGGCTCCAGGATGGAGGCGGGAGAGTGAGGCCGTGGGGGAACAGTAAAGCAGAGGTGGCAAGAAAGCGGGGAGGGAAAGGCGGGTTCTTCTTAGGAGGCCGTTCAGCAGAGATCTGAGGGAGAAGGTACTGGAAGTCCTGGGAGAAGAAAGGAGAGCACATTGCTGTAGTCCAGCCTTGCACTGGACTGTGCTTCTGTATGTGGCCATGGCCCAGGCCCTGTGCCTGCCGTCCCCTGCTCCTCCAGCCTCCTGAGCTGGATTGGCCAAGTGACATACCGTTTAAACTAATGCACTCAGTTGTGAATTAACAAAAAAAAAAAAAATCAAAAAACAAAACAACACAAGAAAAAAAAACAAAACCAAAAACTCCCCCAAAAAACCGAGAGAGGGAGAAAACTTGACCAGAAGAAGAAAACCACCAAACGTTAAAAAATCCCAACCAAACACCCTGTTTGCTTTCTCCACCACCTCCACCCACTCTCACAAGATGGCTACCAGGATTTCAGGGCTCTCTGGCAGGGCTGGGGACCTGTCCAGATCCCGGCACGGTGTGTTTATCTGCTGACTGCTTAAGCCTAGAGCTAGGGCGGCACGCCAAGGGCACAGCCTCCTGTAAAAACTAAATTTGTATATCCCGTAAAAAAATGGCTCATTCCTGAATCATATGCAAATAATGTGTAACCTTTTGTCAAAAGTTTTGCAAGACGGCTTTGTTGAAACTGCATCATAACTCTTTTCATCTGTCAGGCCCCAGCCTCCTAACATGGCATGTTTGAAACCAGTCTCCACGTAGGAGCTGTGGCAGAGCAGGAGGCTATTTACACAGCTGAAATCCAGAATAAATCACTGGCTAGGCAGAAGGCAGCTGAACTTCCAAGAATAAATTTCCAGCTAAGTGGAGCATAACAAACATTTGCAAGCGAATTGTGGGATTTTAAAATGAGAAGGATTTATATGAGGGCAAATAAAGAACTGGGTCCTGCAGTCGTTACCTGGAGTTCCCACAGGCTTTTAATAACATATGGGGAATCATAATCTGAGGAAAGGCAGTGAAATAAGCCTCATTTTACTTCCCCCACACCACACCCCCCTCCAAGCTGAGTGAGGTTCAGGCTAGTTCCTGCTCTTTGAGAGTAGGAAGGCAAAATGACTCAGAGCACGTTTGCTGCTTGGGGGTCAGGGACAGTAATTTATCAGACTTAGAATAGCAGAAGTTAGGCCTATCCCCACGGTCTTGTTCAGTTTATGTTTCCAGTTATGTATGAATAAAGCAAGTGTGTGAATAACTTTGCATCTACCTTTTCACATGCAGTTATTGCAGTAGCTTGTGCAAATCTGACAAGTTTCTATGCAAATAAATATTTCCTGTGAGTCATTTTCCCATGCAAATGCCTGGTTTCCATGAAAAGTATGATAATTGTGCATTCATAGAAGCTGGGAAAACATGCGTGGGACCTTAAGCTTTGCTTTATGGGATGCAGGGACAAGGTATGCTGAAAAGCAAACACAGAAGGGGCTCCCTCTCAGGTCTATCCCACAGATTTTGTGAGACTTAGAGCAATCAGATGAAAGCTATTCATTAAGTACAAGAGCAGAGCCAGGCTGCGGTGGTTTGGGGGCGGGAGGGTTGAACGTGCAGACTGTGAGGTAGGTTACAGTCATGAACAGGCAGAACTTCTTTTTTTTTCATTTCTGAAGAAATGCTTGTGCCAGAAATCCTATTTCTCCTCTGGCTGGCTGCAGGTGATAAAGTACCATTGATGAGAAATGGCTTGTTCCTATGGCTCTGAGCCACAGAAAAATGTATGTTTGTCCTGCTGCCAAAAACTCCTACCAGCGTAGCCCCTTTCCCCCACCCTGCCCCCTTAAACAACAGCGCTTTGCCAGTTCATTATGTTTTAGTCAGGTAGGTGTTCTGTGCATTGGTACCAGCACATACATTTCCCATTAGATCATCTCTTCAGAAACAAATAAGCCCCCAAAGATACGTGCTTCAGCAAAGACTAAGATAATGGGACAATTCAGGATTCCTTTTACAGATGTGATCATCCTATTTTTCTCTCTCTCACACACAATATGAGGTGAGGTATTTGTTAATCAAATTTAGCTTTCAAAAGCCAAATGTTTACCTCTGCATTCATTCTTTATTCATCAGTGGTCTCTTTGAGAAGTGTGCTGATTAACATACAGTACAGAAAACAAAACTCTCCCTCCTCACTTAGATTACCTTCCGAAAAGTGATTATCTTTAGAAGAGATATTTGTTCTTTTTTGTGGTTTTATTTCTTTCAACCTGCTAGTCAATGGAAAGCCTTTAATCAAATTTACAAATAGGCTTCATTTTCCTTCTCTGCAGACTCTTCAGATGCAAAAAAATCGCAAGATCATACCCCAAAGTCCCACACCAAGAAGCACAGTAAGTCAACATCCATGCTTATAAGGGTTGGTTAGTTGATTGAAGGAAAAAAAAACAAATGAAAATCAGATCCTATTTGGGAGGGAAGAGGAAGCATTTTGAATGCAAAACTCATTAAATCATTATTGCGAGTGAATTTTGAAAGGATCTGAGTACCTAGTACTGCTTGCTTACATCATTTTTGGACTCAATATTGTTAAACTTTTCAAATTGTTTTTATCAGTGAGGGCCTATGGGGAAGCAACCACAAACCAGCTTCCTCTGCCCTGTGTTGAGCTGGGCTGGTGGAGTGGAGTAAAGGAATGATGAGGAAGACCCAGGATTTAATCAGGAGAGCCTGTGTGTGGGCACAGTCATGCTCGTGCCTGTGCCTTCCAGGTGCAGCACACACCACAGACCCTGCTCAGCATCTCCTTGCAGAACTTCTCACACACGACATCACAAGCAAGCACCTGTGCTTCAGTCTTGCCACCTTCTTATCCCTTGATACGACAGTCTCTCCACTCCCCTCACCTACATTTTCTGCAAGTTTTTATCCAACCTGACTCTGAAGACAGGATACCATAATTGTGATTTCTGTACATAGTACCATTAAATGTACTTTACTGAGATTTTTTTAATGCTGAAAATATCCTATGTATGTCTTTTTAATCCTATTTATTCCCCTGTTTATAATAGGAAAGCTTAATATTGGTCTTTCACTGAATTTTGTGGTATTTGTGTTCATGCTGTTTCAATATGACCTCCAGATTATGTCTCTTCCTGACTCTTCTTACTCTTGTTCTGTTGCTTTGCCCCAACAGAGCTCCTGAACTTTATATCTGTACACACAGATATCTGGGTGGTGGGGTTTTGTTTGTGTGTGTGTATATAAAAAGGTTGTTCATGAAAGGATTAGACAGGACTGGTCTGAAGAAAGACCTGTGAAGAACTGAGGTCTGTCAGCCTGTTCAGCTTGGAGAAGACAAGGCTGAAGGCTGACACATCCCAGTCTCCAGCTTCCTCAGGGACGGCTGAGGAAGGGAGGGAGAGGTGCTGATCTCCTCTGTCTAGTGACCAGTAATAGGACATGAGGAAATGGAGTGGAGGTGTTCAAGGGAAAGTTTAGACTGCACAGCAGAGAAGGTTCTTTACCCAGAGGCACTGGAACAGACTCCCCAGGAAGGCAGTCACAGCACCGAGCCTGACAGAGTTCAAGGAGCACCTGGATAATGCCCTTAGTCATATGGCTTAGTTCTAGGATGTCCTGTGAGGAGCAGGGAGTAAGACTTGATGATTTGATGATTTTTATAGATCCTTTCCAACTTGAGATGTTCCGTGATTCTAACATCTCATCAGTCACAGCCTGGGCATATAAAACAGGTGACATTGGCAGTCTGGGTTAATCCTCTTCATTTCCAGTTCCTTCAGTACTCCTCCATATCATGACCATAAGTTACTGATGTCCAGATAGGCTAGGTCCTCCACATTTTAATGGGTCCAGAAAACAATTATAATAATAAAGAAAAATATTGTATTCTTTGATTGAAATCTAATTCTACTTATACTGCACTGCATACCATTTTCAAGTTACCTTCACATCTTTGACTAGCTTGTTTCCTTCTTAATTTGGTCTAATTGCATGCTTTTGAAGTCAGACCAAAGGACTGCTGTCTTTCTGGCTCACTGTGTTTGTTATTCTTCATTTGTAAACTACTTAATCTGACTTGATGGCTTTTTTTTTTTTCTTGACCTGGACTTTTTGGTGCTATCTTTATATTAATTGTGAGACGTATTTGTGATTAAACTGAGAGGTCTACCTGTTGAACTTGGAGATCTGTTTTTGTCTTTTCTACACCATGGTCAAACTTTTTGGTTCCCTTTCTACATGCAGTTTTGGCTGGCCAGTTTTGTCACTGTCCTTCTATCCACTCTACACCTTCTTACTTACTCATTCATGCAGAATGGCAGTTCACCTCCTATGCCTTCTGTCTGTCTTCTCAATGCATAGGGTTTCGGTGCCTGCTTCATGGTAATCTCGGCTGTTTCATGTGCCACACAATAATATCAGGTTACATGCTGTGCTGTAGACAGGGATCAGGAAAAATGGGCAAATGAGATGAGGGGAAGGCTTAAACATGTTCTCTTTAGGGCAGAAACAGTGCCAAAGGCAGAAGGAAGCAGTAGGTGGTTTGGACTCTGCTTCCCCTGGTTGCTGGGGCTCCTGCCTGCCTGCCTGAGGCCAACGCTTACTGCAGCTGAAAACTGCCAGTGTTTTTCACCTGTGTATCTCTGACGTGGGGGTCCTGTGTTCCAGAAATTATGGCCTAAGTGTTCACCCTCTGTAGATGACATAAAAATTGCAAGCATAGCAAGAGAGCTCTTGAGACACTCCTTCCTGCACTCTTTGCTTTTTCAGACCCTCGAGGAACTCATCTTTGGGAATTTATTCGAGATATTCTTCTCAATCCTGAGAAAAACCCAGGATTAATTAAGTGGGAAGACCGATCAGAAGGTGTCTTCAGATTTTTAAAATCTGAAGCTGTTGCTCAGCTGTGGGGAAAGAAGAAAAACAACAGCAGCATGACTTACGAGAAACTCAGTCGGGCTATGAGGTGAGCTGGATATTGCTGAGGAAGACTGTGGCACACATGCAGACCTACTGGATGGAGAATTTGTCTGACTAATTTTAAAATGATTTCTCAACAGCAGAAGTTGCTTTCTTTGACAGTTTCTCACACCAGTTTTGAGACTGTAGCATTATGTTATTTTCCTCTCCTGTTTCTGTAGAATATATGATATATATAACACAAACAATTGTTTATATATATATAAATTCTGTTTGGCTCTGCCCAAACAACCAATGTAGGAAGGAAATATGGTTGCAGAAACCTGAGAATGTTTAAATGGCCCATTGATGGATGGAGACCTTGTTATTTCCAGTAACATTCAGAACCCCACATCCATTGTCTTAAAATCGGTGTTAGGATTTTCTTTGTTCTTTGATTTAACATTTTGAGAATTTTTACATAATTTCTGAAACTTTAAAATGTATTTTTAAAAGGGTGCTGAGGTTCTTTCCTGGTCTGATTTTTAGATCCTGGCTTATCTGGAAAAAAACCTCTGTGAAATCTCATAAGAGTGTGTGATAAATCCAGCAGTAGGCTTTGATCTGAAATGAGGTGAAATTCAAACTCAGAAGCTAATTAATATAAACGAAAAAGAAAACATCTGTTTTTCCTTCTCTGTCATTCAATTATCATGATCTTAGATATTATATATATATATATATATCTTAATAGAAAATCAAGGCTTTTTAAACTAGCTTAGGGATTGTCTAGTTGGCAGTGGCCTTTTAGGACCATAGGTGAATTTACTCTTGTATCTTTTTCTGTTTTTATTTTAACAGATACTATTACAAAAGAGAAATCCTTGAGCGTGTGGATGGTCGGAGATTAGTATATAAATTTGGAAAGAATGCCCGTGGTTGGAGAGAAAATGAAAATTAAATATATCAAGAAATAACATTTAAAACACATGGATGTAAATACTCAAAGACTATTTTCTTATATTTATGTATCAAACTGGGGTGAGAAAACAATTCTGCTTCTGTCGGGAAGAAAGAACATTATCATTATTGGTGTTAAAATTATTTTATTTGAAGTATGTCCTGTATGGGGAAAAAATGTACACAGTTTTCTGTGATATAAGTTAACATTATAGAATTATGATTATTTTTCCCTTCTTGTGAAGTTTTCCTCTTTTTTTTTTAAATCATACAGGCATAATGTGATTTATGAGTCATGTAAAGAAAGGGAAGGAGCTAAATATTAGGGCATTTAGAGAGTATGATAATCCACTTTGGAAGGCAACAATAAGTGGAAGAAACAGTAAAGCATCTCTGAGCCAAGTAGCCTTCTTCCACAGTCAGATGGTTTATAGCTTTCCTTGGCCAAAACCACTTGTTCCTTCCCTCCTCTGATTTCTGAGTGTTTTAATACTTTGCTGGTTTTCAGCTGCTTTTCTTGAATTAGACAGTGGGTTCCTCTTCAGCTGGCTTATCCCAGCCACAAGAACAGTGGCTCTGCAAGGTGGCTGTCAGCATTTACTTGGAGAACCCATACTACCTCCACCACTGAGACCTTCTTTTGTGGGCAGACATTTAGGACCAGACCTTATCTGATACTCAGTGTCCTCCCTAACCTCCACAGAGCATTCAGCTTACCTCAGGAAAAAAGTTATTTTTTGTTAACTAATATCTTTGGGGTGAACTGCTGGAAGAGCATTGATCTTGGGGACCAAAAGCTGTTGAAAGAAGATTGTTTTCTGACTGGGCAAACATTAAAAGACACTGGTTTCCCAGTAGGAATGTTAATAATCCTCTCACCCTCTTGCACTTCTAATTAAAGCTTTGAAATCTCTGCTATATGGAGCAGTGAGGAGGTGGGCAAGCAGAACATTTATAAATCCCTTGGCACGACGAAGCAGTCTCCCCAGTTACTTCAAGCTGTGGTCCTCCTGGAAGGTCAAGTCTCACTTGGACAGTTACTTTCAAAAAAACCTTTGAGAAATGCAAAGCTAAACTGTGTGTAAAATGTTAGTTCCCTTTGCTTTCCTCAAGTCTAACTCTATACTGTGCTTATATTTGTCATTTGTGCTTGGGATTCTTAGTTGGAGGAAAAGCCCCATTAACATAAAGACACTGAGATTTTAGGGACATTCAGATCTGGGTCAGTATTTTGGGTTCATCTCTAGCAGGACTGTGCAGACACTGAGCGTTCATCAGCAGCTTTTCCTTTCTCCAACTCACAAATGCTTTCTGCCAGCACTGAGCATATGCAGAACATAGGGAAATAAAATCTAGAGGAGGCAGCATTTCACCAGGTCACTGAGTACGTGAGATGTGGGAGTCGAGAAACAGGATTGTCTTGGTGATGTTAACAGAGGTGAAACCAAGATCAATTTCAAATGACTTTTTCAGGGATTGGAATTTGGAAAACAATAACAAGGACTGAGAAGTCCAGAATTAAAAAAAGGAAAGGAAAAAAAAAAAGAAAATCAAGAATATTAAATCCATCCAATATCTATTTCCTGAGGCATCCCCTGGGTTTGAATCCATATTAGCTTGAAATATGGCAAGACACAGCTGGAGGTTGGAGGATATTCCATTTTTGTTTGTCTTAAAAGGAAATAGAGATGAAACCAAGAGACAGCAGAAGTACCAATATGAAGGGTATAAAATGTGCTTAGCAACAATTTGTAGGCAAACATGAGAGCCTAACTTGTTATCTACACATGAAGGGCATGTTAAACAATAGCACCACCTCCTACACTGTGTATGCGAGAGCTGTCACCATCAATTACCCATACATGACAATTTTTACTTTTCATAACCTGGGTGGAGAGAGCTTCATCTTATTTACAAATCAAATAATAAGCCTGTGTACTTCAAAGCATTTTTTCTCTCAGTCTATCTCTCTTTGGTTTAGCTTTTTTTTTTGACTGTCTGTGCTAGCCTTGCTTGCTTTTGCAAATTCAATAATTTCGTTTTTTAGCTTAATTTGCTACATTTCACTTCCTTTACCATCATTTTGTAGTTCATATAACAAGGATCAGGCCACCAGATGAGAAGAGCACTTTCACTTTGCTCCTAAGACCATTTCTTCCCCTTACCTGATGGTTGTTTGTAGCCCTTTGCTCTATGCTCTTCACACCACTTCCACACCCTGGGTGAAAATCTGAGATCAGTGGTACCATCACAGATCTGCAATGCAGTTGTACCTTATCTTAGGTTAACATTTATCTTATAGCAATGAATTGTAATACTTCATGAATTTGCTTTCTACCTGATCTCTCACAAAATTTCTTGGGAGATAAAATGAACCTGCGATATATGCGTGTCACCACTTGGTTGCTGAGCAGCAGCTCAACCTGCTTTTAAAAGGCTTTGAAAGATGAACCTGTGCTTAGAAGCATTCTGTATAAATTGAGAGAGTGGTTTACGTTGGGGTGCAGTATAAATGGTCTTCCACTGTCAAATCTTTCAGCACGTGGAAATCATGCAAGTTTCTGTTTCCACCTTGCAGAACTTCGCAGTGTTGTAGGTACTTGTCGTTCTGCATTACAATAGCACAAAGTTGGAATAGAAGCCAGCCAACATTTACTCTGTTTTATAAACCTTTGCCTAAGACAAACACAAAGGACTGTTTAAAATTACAGTTCTTGCCAAGGACAGATGCAACCAACCAAAGAGTCTTTTTACCAGACCTAAGCAAACGGAGAAAATGAAGAGATGAATTTTTATGTAAATTGCTATTTAAACAAAAAGCATTTCTGATTGCTCTTTTATTTTGTGTTTCAGAGGCTGAGCAATCATATTTTTAGATGTATCCTTTAAGTTAGCAGCTGCTGAACTGGTAGCACCATGTGTATAGATTTTTGTTGTACCATAATTTTTCGTATGTATAAAGCTCTAGATAGGAAAGTATATTGTATTTATACAGTCAGATGCAAATCACAACGTCAAAGGGTTGGCATGAGCACTCTCAATATTTTCTGCACAAAATTAGAGCAACTTGCACTAAAAACATCCTGAGAAACTGTATGTAGGCTGTTGAACTACATAGACATTAAAATGTTTAGTTACATTTTCATGTTTCTTTCTGCAGCACATTGCATAATTCCTGCTTGCTTCTCACAGCATCGTCTTCAATGTCTACGTGTGGAAACAAATCCAAGTTAGATATTTCACTATTGCCATTGTAAATCTCAGCTTGGAGACAATGTATTCACAAAATGGTTCTAAAGACTGTTTCTATTTTTGTGAATATGATACAAATTCAAATAAAACACTCATGAAAGAATATATTTGATTAATGTTTATCTTCCCTTTTTTAATGTTTATCTTCCTTTTTTTATGTCTTGTGATTGGAAGTGACTAATGTCAATTCCTTCAGTACTGAAGAATATTTTCATATTCATGAAAGGACTGCTGTAACTACAACAAAATCCAATAGCTTAAATTTACTAATATGTTGAATACCCGATCTATTGTGAAGATACTCAGTTTCCAAACCTGTTTTATGTCTCACAGGCCTCACTGAAATAATGGATTATGTCAACACAGCTAGATTGCCTTTCTTGTTTGGCTGCTGAACTTAACAAAGGCCTGACTTCAGCACTGATTTAACTTCAAGGTATTTTGAAGTGTGTGCAAGGGCTAGGCTGATTAAGGATGCCATCACTCAAACCGAGCGTTTCCTTTACTGAGTCAAAGCAGCTAAAACGAAGAAGTCCTGTCCTTCATGTTATTTTTCCATCTTAGTGGTGGCTATGAAAAGGGGACATCTCTTCTAATTTACTCTTCAGCTTGAGGTAAAAAAGTGAAAATGCCTTCAGTTAAAAGCAAGTCAAGGCAGACTCCTGTGGCATTTGCAGTGCGGGGGCTGTGGCTGTGCCAGCTGGGTGCAAGGGTGCCATGTGTGACCATCCTGTAGCCCCGGTGGTGCCCTGCTGGGTGTCCCGGGCTGGCAGCAAGAGGGCAGGGCAGCCAGTCTGACAGAGAGCTGAGCCTGCTGCTGTGCCAGCACACCTGGAGTTGGGCTGGAATCTCAGTCAGGAGCTCCACGGCAATAGGATAAGCCACACCATCACGCTCTATCATCTGCAAACGTGCATCATTTTAAGCAAGTGGGTGGTTCCCCTGCCCTTGAAATGATGCATGTGGGGGATTGAGGATGGTGGCTCTAGAAGTGTTCAGTCTATATTGAATCAGCCCTATATTTGAACCTGGAATTTCAGAAGGGCTCCAATATTATGTCCACATAAATGGGGGAATGGGTTTGAATTTTGAACACTATTACAAACCCCATGTTTAGCATGCAAAATCAGTGTCCCAAGAGTGGTCATAGTTTGAGAACTCGGGAGTCCCAAAGTAGGTTTCAAAATGACTTGGAACTAGATTTCAGGCAAGTTCAGACTGAGATTTAAATAAGCACAGCTGGTTTTCCGGTAAATGGTTGGGGCTTTTGTTTCAAGCAAGCTGAGGCCAATATTTGAGACAAAAACAGATGAGAATATTGTTTGGAAACATGCAAATAAGTGCACACTTAATAAACTCCCCCCACCCCCCCAAAAAAATCCACGTAAACCAAACCTCTTCTTCTCTCTTTTTTGATTGTCACTTAAAATCAAGGAAAACTGAAGCTTTCGGCTGCAGTCTAAGGCCACATGAAATAAAAATTCAAGGCAAAATTCAGTTTACAAATCCTATGTAAATTGAGAATAAATAAGAGGAGTGCTGTAAACAGAGTCTACCTACCTTAACATGATATAAATTTTGGTGCATGTCTGCATTAAGGACAAGTGAGAATTGCTTCAGGTAAGTGAAATCTGGTACTAGTAAAAAGAAAAGGTGATTAAGAGTCACCAAGACTAATAGCTTCCAATAAATGGGTTAGTTACAATAATTTGAAAGATAGGTTATCTATCTGGGTTTTCAGTATTTGCTCCCTTGCTGATGAAGATTTGCACAATGCAGTCTAAGTCCCAAACTTTGTGCGAGCCAAGAATTTTCACCAACAACCATCTTTTCCCCAGATATTTGGCTGTTTCAGTCACCTTGGTGTTAAGGAAAATAATAGGGAAAGAAACAAATAAAGCAGGAAGAAGTGACTGGGTAGATGACCAGGTCTTAATGCACCAAAAGTTCTGTGTGGCAATAGAAGGGCTGTATGTGCAAAAAAATTTAATAACATCCAAGTCAGTCTGTTTATAGTCTTTACATCACAGGTTGGTTGCAAAAATTAAACATAAATTAGTATTTGCAAGTTTAATTATAACTTTTAGAAGAACAAGAAATTATAGCAATATTGCTGTGTATACTGCATCATCTTGTGTACCTAAAAAAATTAATTATGAAAAATGACTGAAGCATTATTTCTGCTGAAGAATTTCTCCCCTCTGTATTCAGTATGGTGTGATCCCTCTTTGCTTCATCTTGGTTTGAAATTCAACAATAAGATTCAGTCTCAACACGGGGAATGAAGAAGGAGATGGATGATCTGTATTGTTGTAGCAGGTATTTCAAAGCAAATAGGCAAACTGTAGCTTATTCTTTCTAAAATTTTGGTTTCTGATTTAGCATTTGTACTGTCCCTGGGAACAAGATGTGAAGTTGGCGATAAATACCAATATCAGTGACACATCTTGTGAATTTTGCAGAGGAGCCTCCCCATCCCTGTGTAGGAGTGGTGAAGAGACCTTCAGAGCATGAAGATTGTGAAAGCCCCCTTCTTATACCTGAGTATGTTGAGAGGCTGAACACCTTAAATCCTGTTTTCTAAAGCTCCTGTCTGTGTTTTGAAAGCTTTGGACAACAATGAAGCCTTCAGCATTGTGTGGCAAGGGGATTATTGTACTTCACAGCTCACTGGGGAACACACAGGATGGCCTCATAGCAACCAGAGGTGAGGAGAAGTGCTGTGTTTGAATCCATGCTGCAGCCTCTGGAGACTGCAGGACTCGCTCTGCACTGAGGTCTAGTGCCACTGTACACCTTCATCTGCTTTTCTCAATGTGCCAAGGTAAAGATGAGCTGGAGACTCTTAAGAATGCATCCCAAATGCTTTTGTGAGTGCTGCAGAAAGGTCAGAGGGTTACTGGCACTGCTGAAGTTCCTGGAGGTGATGCTGACATGAGGATGCTAAGGCACAGCTACCAGCTGGAGAAGTGCTCTGGGAGAAGGGGACTCTCCCTTCTTCAAGTCTAGCTAGTTTAGCTCTCTATTCGTCAGCTCTGTGCCCATTTTTTTCTCACATCCTCTTTCTATCCAGGCTGTGGATGTAACATCACTGGCTGTACCCATGGAAACTGTTCTTTCCCTGGAAGGGGATAGAAAGTTTTTGTCTTTTGAGTCGGCTTTCATGGGCTAAGACCAAACCCTCTGGCTCTAGTCCACATCTTTATAGGCTGATAATTAACAGCAAATTTGCCAAAGTAGGGAAATTCAAAATGCAACCCAAATCTGTAACCAGGGGGTCTCTTAGGGAGTTGCTGAA